GGTCTGTATGTGGGATCCGAACCCTTGGCGGGAGCGCCACTGCACTCCCAAGCGGCGCACTATAGCAGTGCGCCACTGGGCCGGCCCTCGTGGTGTTTTTTTAAATTTTATTTTATTTTTAATTTTTATAAAGATAATTGAATGGGCACACGGCGGGAGCGCCACCGCACTCCCAAGCGGCGCACTATAGCAGTGCGCCACTGGGCCGGCCCTCGTGGTGTTTTTTTTAATTTTATTTTATTTTTAATTTTTATAAAGATAATTGAATGGGCACATGCAGCTCTAGGAAACAATACAGAAAGGTCCCATGCACTTTACCCAGTTTCCCCCAGTGACAACATTTTGCAAAATTATGTAGTAACAACATCACAACCAGGATATGACGTTGATACAATTCGCCGATCTTATTCAGATTTCCCCAGTTATACTCGTACTCATTTGCATGTGTGGATGTCTGTGTGTTTAGTTCTAGACAATTTTATCACATGTTGGTTCCTGTATCCACCATCACAGTCAAAATATTGAGTAGGACCTGAGCACAAGACTCTTCACGTTGCCTTTTTATCACCACATCCGCCTCCCTCCCACCCTATCTCCCATCCCTAACCCCTGGCAACCACCATTTCTAAAATGTTGTCATCTCAGAAATGTTACATAAATGGAATGACACAGTATTGTTCTTTCGTGATTGGCTTTTCTCTCACAGCAGAATTCCTTGGAGATTCACCCAGTTGTTGTGTGTATTCATCCAGTTGTTCCCTGTTGGGTATGTTTTGTTCCTCCTCAGCACCTATAACACTGCCTGTGTAATGTAGGCACTCAATAAAAATTTGTTGAATGAATGGATGAATGAATTTCCCCAACAAACTGATTCAACTCCACAATGCACCAACAAGAAATGCATGTTTTACTGAAGATCTCCCAGGAAACAAGAGAGTTCACATGGAACCCAATAACAACACACATAATTCCTTGCTGAGGTTCCTCTCTCCTGCTATCTCTGATCTCTCCTCTCTCTCTTCCCCTGTTGTTCTTGCAAAATTTCCTCTACCATTGGCATTTCCATTTTCACCCTCAGCTTACATACCCATTCAACAAAAACCAAAACCATGGAAATGACAGAACGAAGACCATTTACTCTTCCTTCGGATCTCCTTTGGGAATCTCAGTATCTCCAACAACATAAAGATGGATTGGGGGAAAATATCAACTCTCATGGCCTAAGGAAAGCACCGTCAAGGCCTGTGTTTGCGTGGCAGGAATAGAAAAGAGTTGACATACATGACGGTCATTCACCTCCTCCTTCTTCTGCTTTAAACATTTGAGAAGAGGGTGGAATTACAAAATGCTTCCCCACCTCCATTCTGCTCAATTCCGATTGCCAAACAGTACCTGGACCAATTGTGAAAAAGGGCGCAGTTCTGTGGGGAAGAAAAATATGTCGTGGTTTGTTTACCTTGTTTAGGAGGACAGGTGGAATACCAGACTGATGAGGAAGACTGGCACACCAGATCTTTTTTTCTCAGTTTCAAAAACACCAAAGGTTGATGCCAGGATATTTGATTTATCTGGATCCTCGGTTCCATTGCGTTTCGTACACAGGCCCGGGTAATTAGCTCAAAGCTCCACAAGAGCTGTGACGACACATGCTCCTTTCTTGAAGGAAACCTCAAATAGTCCATCTGATCCTCAGAGCCTTGCTTGTTATGCTTCATGTGGGTGTAGTATGTGAGCAGGAAGTTCTGCAGGAAAAATCACTCTGGGTTTGTTTACTGTTTTGATAAAGTCACAGCATTTCTCAAGTGCTGTAAGCTGTAAGTTTCAGGCACATGGTAGGCACTCAAATCTTATTGACCCACTAATTTTTTCCACCAAAGGTTTCTTTAGTTTGATTCCAGTTCAGGAATAAGCTGGATATATACTTGGGCAAATCAACTCATGAAAAAACCGAAGTGCACTTGAGCTACATCTGTAATACTTGGTCATACTCATTTTCTCCCCACCAAAGTTACCGACGTTGGGCTCACTTAAGAAGGTTGCTGGTCCAGGTTAAGTACAAGCACCTCTGACCACTTCTAAAGCTGCTTAAAGACCGTTTGGGTGGTTTTTAAAGGGCCAGGAGAAGTCTTTCCTGTGGCAAATCAGGACATGGAGACCGACAGTCATCACCACCATCCAACGATGATGAGACATGTGGCTTCACACTTTACCTTTCTTCTGGGGAAGACTCAGAGACCATGTATGGAAACATACAGGGCTGGCTGCCCCAGCTCCTGGCCACATCGGGAAACATCTTCGAGGTCAAGCCCCAGTGCAGAGGCAGGGGGTTTTCTTAGACACAACAAGCAAAGAGAGATGTGGGGGCACTGTATCTGGGCAGCACGGAGATGAGCAAGGCTTCCCTCCTTCCTGGTAATTGGGAAAGGCTTCCTGGAAGGGCAGGACTTCAGGACCCGCCTGAACGGCCCTAGGTAGCACCTGGTAAGGGCTGCTCACTGAGGCTGAGGGTGCAGGCTGGGACAAGGATTCGAAAGCGGTTGCAGGTTGACTAAACAGAGCAGGTGTGGAGCTTATTTCCCAAGAAAGAGTGGTGGGAAGAGGGAGAGACTTATGAGATGTTTTTTCTCTGATTATATAAGCCCTATATGAGAGTACTTCACAAAGTTCACGGAAAGATTTGTATTCACTTTCAATCCTCTTTTCCCACAAACTTTTTGAAGTACCCTCATACGTTCATTGTAGAGCACCTGGATCAGTTAAACAAAGAAACACAAAAGACACCCATAGTCCCACAACCAAAAGAGAACCACTGAAATCATCCTGGTGTGTTTTTCTCCAGGTGTTTTGTGTGTGTGTGTGTGTGT